ACGTATCCTTTTTAGTTTTTATAATATCTTTCTTTTAAATATACGAGTAGTTACAAACGAATTGTTTGTCCCAATGGTTGTGAAATAGTACTTCGTGATTTCATGCAAGTAAACAACATACAATTGCAGAGATTTTGTGTACCTCACTGTGCCACATAAACAAATAGGCATGCAGGATAGCAAAACAGCACCGTTCGAGGCTGCACCTACCATGCTTGCGACTGTTAAAGTCAGTTAAAGTTAGTGTTAGATAAAAATAATAGGCGGCGTATTTCATAGTTTAGAATGATTAGAATTTTTACCGTAACTATCACATGTAATAACGCTCAATCTTGTAATCAATAATATCAATTTCATTAAAGTTTAACGTTGAATTATATTAGGTTATGGGCCCAGACCTTCGTTTTAGTGTTTTTCCGTTTCGAATTGTGTATTTGTGAAGTGTTATGTTAAATTCACACATCAGCAGCATAATGGATTTAGCAAAGCACATTAAACCATTGACTGGTGAGTCAGACTGGCCAATTTGGAAAAGGAAAATTCGTGATTTACTTGATTATCATGAGGGAGCGTTAGATGGTATTGATAAGAAGCTAGAAAAACCGACTCCGCTTAGTGCTAATCCAACACGAGATGAAGAAAAAGATCTTTATCGAAAAGCTAATAGTTATGCCAAGTCAATGATTACAAGTACAGTTTCTGACACAGTTTATCAGAAAATCATGGACCAGGTTACGGCAAATGATGCTTGGGAGGCGTTAAAACAGCAGTTTGAAGCTAGATCCAAAGATCAGCTGTTCAAGATTTGTACAGAGCTGTTTTCATTTGGTTGGACATCCGGCGAGGATGTTTCCACGCACGTAGCCAAGCTCAAGAGTCTATGGAACGAGCTAAATAACGGGTTAAAAGCTAAGAATGAAAATCCACTCCCAGATCTACTATTGGTATGTAAAATTTTACATATTTTACCTAGTAGTTTTGAGAATTTTAAATCGAGTTGGATGCTGTTGACGAAAGATGAGGTTAAAACATTCGACGAATTAACCATGCAGATTATTATTTTCGAACGAAATATAAGACAGCCTTCAAGTAATGATAGTGATAAACAAGTAGCCTTGTTGGTTAAGTCAAATAAGCAGACAAAGAGGGGTACCGACAATTTCAATTTTCTATCGAAACTTAAGAAAGAAGATACCTGTAATTACTGTCAAAAGAAGGGTCACTGGGTGAGAAGTTGTAGAAAATGGATCGCAGATGGTCGTCCTAAACGTAGTAGTAGTAATAGTAGTAGTAATGCTGAAAGTAATGCTGCAGAGTCTCAGGTCGCTTTAGTCTCAATAGATAATGAAGTTTTAGCTACTGAACCAAATTCAGAGGATTGGATTGTGGATAATGGGCCTACTAAGCATGTAACTAGTCGTTCTGATTGGTATTGTACGTTTGATGAGTTTAAAGATCCGCGCACAATTAAAGCAGCTGGAGAAGAACGTTTGATTGCTATCGGGAGCGGTGCTATCAAAGTCTCTTCAATTGTCAATGGGAAGAACCAACATATTTTATTGAAAGATGTTTGGTACGTTCCGAAAATTTCGAGAAATTTATTTTCACCATTGGCTGCGCATGATTTAAATTTAAACAGTGAATTCAGATCCACCGTAACCACTTGCTTTTAGAACAAATGCTAACGCATGCAGAAACTCAGGGTCACACCATTAAAGAGCCACTCAGCGACAATGGCGGTGAATTTGACAACGCGGATGTTCGAGAAATCTTGCAGAGACGGGGTATCACACAGCGATTGACAGCACCGTATACACCACAACAAAATGGCGGTAGTGAAAGAGAAAATAGAACAATTGTCGAGATGGCACGTCCGGTCAAGTATTCCAATTCTGATGTGCAGTTTCCGGACGCGATTTGGGCTGAGTTAGTTACAACAGCGATCTACATTCTGAATAGAACTGGGAAGTCGTCAGAAGATGTCATTACTCCATATGAAATTTGGTATAAGAAGAAACCCAGGATAAAACACCTCGAATCATCAGTTCGGCCTGCTATATCCATGTTCCAGATCAGAAAAGACGAAAAATGGATAGAAAAGCTGAAAAAGGCTACTTAGTTGGTTATGATGGAGATGAACGATATCGAGTGTACGTTCCAGAGAAGAAATGCGTTGTTTTAACTCGAGATGTCAAATTTAATGAAGTAACTCAAGAATGCGAAGAAAAAGAAAAAGTATTCTTCAGGAGTAGATTGTCACAAGAAGATGAATCAGAAAAAGAAGACCAGATTGATAAACCAGAAATTACTCAACCTGAAGGCAGCACAAGAACTAAAGAAAGCAAAGAAGAAAGTGATGATGAGTGCAGTAGTGAATATAACAATGAAAGAATGTTACGTAATCGAGAAATTATACGCACTCCAAAGTATCTTGAAGATTACGTTATGGCGATGACGACAGAGCTCGATCCTCAAACATATGAAGAAGCGATACAAGATAAAAATAGTGCATCCGGGAAAAATGCCATGGACAATCCTTGATGGAAAATAGCACGTGGGCATTAGTAAAATTACCCATAGGTGGTAAAGCAATTGCCTGTAAGTGGGTTTATAAATTAAAATTAAATCCAGATGGAAGTATTTTAAAATACAAGGCAAGATTGGTCGCAAAAGGATACAATCAAAAGAAAGGTATTGATTAAAACAATACTTTCAGTCCAGTTGCAAAGTTGCAAACTATTCGTTTGATACTTGGTATTGCTGCAACAGAGAAAATACATTTGGCCCAATTTGATGTCTCAACTGCATTTTTATATGGAGAGTTGGAGGAAAAGATCTTTATGAAACAGCCATATGGATACGATGATGGGTCTGGTAGAGTCTGCCTACTCAAGAGGAGTTTATATGGACTAAAGCAGTCGCCTAGATGTTGGAATCATCTTATTGGAAAATATTTACAAAAATTACAGTTTAGAGCCAGTAAAGAAGAACCATGTATGTTTGTTAAAGAGAAAAATGGTGCTAAGATAGTTTTAGCATTATATGTAGATGATGGTCTTATTGCTGCTACTCATAAGGAAGATCTTGAAGAATTTATCCACCAACTTAGAACCGAGTTCAAGATTACCTCAAATGAAGCAACATATTTCTTGGGTCTTGAAATTGAAAAATCGCAGAATGGAAATATCAAGATTAGCCAGAAATCGTATGCTCAGAAACTACTTGAACGTTTCAATTTTGTTGAATGCAAGCCAGTTTCTACACCAATGCTTTCAAGTTCAGGAAGTTCGAATTCAGGGAAAGCATCAGAAAAAGAAGCCACATTCCCATGCCGACAGGTCGTTGGTGCGATCATGTACCTTATGTTAGGCTCGAGACCAGATTTAGCCTACAGTGTGGGATTTTTATCCAGATCATTAGAAAACCCTACTGTTGACGATGTCACGAGAGCTAAAAGAGTCCTTCGGTATATAGCTGGGACTATTGATCTTGGTATAGTATATCAAAGTAACGCTAAGAAGGGAGCGTTCGAATATGCTGATTTCGGAGGCTGTAGTAAAACAGGTCGTTCAACATCAAGAGTACTGGTCAAGTATGCCAATGGAGCTGTTTCTTGGATTAGTCAGCGACAAGGTTCCGTAACAGAGTCTACAGCGGAAGCAGAAATCGGAGCTGCAAGTGAAGCCGCAAAGGAAGTGATTTGGCTTACTCGACTTTTACAAGAAATTACATTTTTAAAAGAAATTCCAGTTTTCCAGATTGACAACGCTGCAGCCGTTAGACTGTCTGAGAATCCCGAAAATCATCGCAGAACCAAGCACATTCAAAGGAAACACTTCTTTATTCGTGAGCACGTTAGTGAAGGTACATTGGTTGTAGAAAAGGTTTCATCTGAACATCAGGTAGCTGACATTATGACCAAGCCTCTCGCTCAAACAAGATTACATATCCTTTGTGTAAAGATGGGACTTGTATTATTATTAATTTTTATCAAACAAGGGAAAGTGTTAAAGTCAGTTAAAGTTAGTGTTAGATAAAAATAATAGGCGGCGTATTTCATAGTTTAGAATGATTAGAATTTTTATCGTAACTGTCACATGTAATAACGCTCAATCTTGTAATCAATAATATCAATTTCATTAAAGTTTAACGTTGAATTATATTAGCGACGATTGACTTCGAGTAAATGCCTTTTACAACTGACCCAATGCATTAGTAACAAAACCTTCCTGAATACAATTTTTAGGTTCTGTAGACGTAGTAGGGCTTTTGAAAATTTTCAAGCAACTGCATCTGGACTTGCCTGCTTGCCTCTCTGTTTTCAAATATCGTTTAGGTATGGTCAAAGAGGCGAGAGATATCGGTAAAATTAGAATGGACATGTAGATTCAGTAAATTAATTCAGCTTTAAAAAAAACTAAAAATGACTATGATTGCAGTCCATTTCCCTGCATAGTGGTGGTCATTTATAAAACAATTACGTAATGGAACAAACAGAATAAAGTAGGTACAATAGAATAGTATATTGAAAGACAAATGTTACAATGCGACCTATTGTAATACGACTATCTTGTGGCACGAGTGGCGACGCGAAGCGTAGCCACGAGTGTCCGCAAGATAGGAGTATTACAATAAAGCATTGTACACGCGTTTTTCATACTATTTTTTCTATTTCGGTGCTTTAATTTAATTAAAAAAATCATTATCAGAAACTATAATAGGGAACATTAGAACTAACATGTTTTATGTTGGGAACACTTTTTATGCCGTTAAGTTTTAGGTTGGCAGCGTAGTAAGACTGACATTTTGAAGTTCAAACATGGAAGTACCCAACGAAGTACCTACTTGTACTAACTAGTAACTGCCAACTTAAGAGATGAGTTACCAAAAAAAACGACTATAATCACTGTCTTTGTACAACTGTTTTCGGCCGAAAACAGTTGTACAAAATCATCATTGTGACACCGAAATAGAAAAAAGCATTTTTTATTACGTACAAGGCGCAACTATTATTTGTTCTTCTGTAGATAAAGGTTAAAGACCTCATTTTTTATCTGCCCTTTCAAAAAAGATATATTTCTGTGATAATTGAACTTGAGATGGATAAGCTTATCATTTTTAATAGAAGAACGGAAAATATACTTACGTAATTTATATACCGTGTTCAGTGCAAGAGTAAATTTCGACAGATTTACTCAAAATGCATGCGTTGCTTTTTATGTTGGTAATATTGCCAGTAAGGTGAGTTGAATTTTTTATTTATCAATATTATTTATTATTATTTACCTATTTAAAAAATAACGATATCGCAATTTGCTGTATAGTTCATTACATAAATGGCGCAGCTGTTTTTAATCTGATTATAATAAATAATTAATTGCGATAACTAACAGTGTATGTATGCTTAGGATATGTTGCTCAAATAACCATAAGTGGGTGCTAATTTTATACCTTAAAATCAAATTTGCCATTCATGTTTTGGACTGAGAAGAGTTAAGGTATACCATAATTTGTTACTAATTTGGGGCACTGCGTAGGTAGAAACGCGTGCTTGTTTCACTTCTCTTTACCACCTTTTTCAATGTCTTCATGTTAGACTCTGTATACAAGCTGGCCTGAATAAGTTCCCAACCCCCTGTAAACTGGTTTCTGAAAAGTTAACAAAAATGATTTTCATCGAAAGGGGCTTATCGTAACGTGATTTTCAATTCATATATACATTTCTTTTCCTTGAGTAATGTAACAGCCCTCCTATTAATATCTCACGAATGTGCATTAAATATGATAGATTGTTACACCAGTCGGAAAAAATCTTCTTTGAAGTAAGATAACAAAAGGTTAATATGATTCCCAGCTAGTTATAATACAATTTACTTTGACAGCCATTTGCAAAAATTCTTTTATCTTCCCTTTTCTCATTGAATCACAGCTTATTTCCATCCTTTCTTATCTATGCAGGTAATAAATACGCAAGAACAAATCCCTCAAGTATGGATTTATTTATGATATAACAAGAAAATTAGATCCTGTTTAAACGTCACTTTACAACTTCGCTATTTACAACCCTTATTTCTGAATATCAAAGATATAAACTTAGTTTTGTGTCCATCTTACTGCAGTTAAACTACCTTGAGAGCAAAATTATCTAACACAAACGAATACATTTATGGAAAATAACAAAAGGTGCACCCATATCTCTAAATCTCTTAAATGCAATGAAACAACTAGACAAGTAAACATTCCTAAATAAATGCCTTCATACGTTACAAATTTATGTAGTTGATACCGCCTTCCATTTATTATAACCAAATGTCTTTAAAAGCTAAATTTATGATTATGATCAACCAGATATTTATGGTACAAAATTCCTCCCTTATCAGTATCAGGCGATTCTTCAGATATCGTGCCCTTCCTTATGATACAGCTTTATCACGACCTTTGCTCTGGAGATGGTAGCCTACAGAGAACAGTAAATTAGATCTACGGCAATTCTGATCCCAATAGATTCGGTATCTTTTTTTAAATTTTTGGTTGGTTGGCATGAACTCACGGGCATACTTTCAGTATCTACTCTCTACTTCAGACGAGGTAGCTGCTTTAATGGCAAATCCTTTTTGGAAATTTATCCCCCCTTTAACAGTCCCTAATATAACTATGAAGTTTAACACTTTTCACATTTGTTTACTAACCCGCTAAATTAACGAATGTCCTTGGTCTATCGCAAAAGCATTTATTTATTTCCACTATTCAACAGGGTAACTTCGCGTATCTACGAATTTCGTAGGACTTGGCTTAATGGCCCTCGCGAAACTTGCGAAACGAGCCCCGCGCGATATTGTGCCAAAGTTTCGGGGTAGTAGAATTACGCCCCTAATTAGCACTCCTAAAAATTTACAGGAAATAAACAAAATCATCATTTTTTACCCTGGCTTTTTATTGCACGCTTTCTAGGAATTCTATCGTGTTGTTTATTTGGTGGTACAGATCGTTAAAAAGTGTTAGTTATGAACGCGCATAGCAAATACTGACATTAAGACTTCAATCATTCATCTAAAGGTTACAACAAATTGAGAACTTAATTGCCAACAAAAAAATGCTTAGTGATTTTAACCGAAAACGACGATCGTAACCCAAATCGAATGAACTATAATTTTTTTGCACTTATTGGACCATAATTTAAACTTCCGGTATACTTTCTTATAATTATGTGTACTTCTAGTAACATTTAGTTTAATATCTACAAAAAATTAGTAACAAAATTAAGCTCTATTAACAAGCTTCCGTTACAGTATCCCCTTCTTGTTTTTAAAACCAAAGCAACCAGATGAGATTTGAAAAACAAGCATGGCCGATCTGCCTGCTTGCAGAGTACAACCCGCTCCACCCTTCGCAAGGAAGTCACGACCTTCCTCAGAAATTACCAAGACGCTTAGCTCGCATCGCTAAAATATAGAAACCAGGAAAACATAGGACATTATTACCAAAAGTTGAAGGTTTTTGGAGGAGCTAAAAGATTACAGGAAAATATAGAGGGTGTTAAAAAAAAAGTGAGATTTTTAATACCTATGAAGTTTTGTAACTTTGGACCCACAGAAAGTACGCCCTGTAATCTATTTTTTAGTGTTTCATAGTAGATCTATTTATTTGACTTTTACTTTACCCAGTATAAAAGAATAGAGCCTGGAATCAAAATTTAAGTAATAATTTTGAGAATAAACTGACGCTTGCAAATGCCAAATTTTTCTTACAAGTCAAATTATGGTTTTTCGGATATTAACCATATAATTAAAACACGTAGAATTTAAAAAAAATGCATTCAAATACAAGGGGTTCCATTTAATCATAATAATAATAATGGTTTTTATTGATTAGAAAAATTTGTTCCTACACCATAATCAATAGGTTTAGGGTGAGATAACCATTAGGTTATACGTTCCTCCCCCAGTACCCCTAGACACATAAAGCATATATTACTAAACATAGATTCTACGAAATAAAACAATTAGCAGAATTCGTTTTTGATTGTAAACAAGCACACATCTACTAACTATACCTACCAACAAAGGAAAGAAAAAAAAATAAATTATGTTAAATTTCGTTCTTCGATTATTAATTTTTGTATAACAAAAATTTCCATTTTAGCGCCCTACTTTGTGAGTGCACCCTGTATAATTTCAAATATTTTTAAAATGTGGAGAATACTCATCCATATCATAATACACAAGCACTCTATCAAAAAATCTTTTATTCAAGGCATAAGTTACTCCGCGCAATCGTTGACTCACCCTGTACATTCAGGTTTTACCTTAGCCGCTACGAAACAACAACTAACATCTAAAAAGCTCACTGCTCGATAAATATATGTAGGGGATGTAGTGGACATTGTCGGTCTGTCCGTTGCACCTACCTTATACAAAACAGGTATGGCATTTCTATCTTACAAAGTCAGAAAAAAGCTACATCCCAAACACTGCGTATGCAGCAAAATACGACTAAATTTATAGCATGTTAAATTTCAGTACGTCTGAATGAGTATAGAAGTCGTTATTTGACCGTGCGGGTAGATAAAGAGATAAACCGAAACAGATGATTATGCATTCTAATGATATATGTCACTCTTATTTCAATTGCGAAGCGAAGCACGTTACAAAATGACGTTCAGAACATATGACAATGCTGTTTCTATGGTGACGACCGCGATAGCAGAACCTAACCTTGTGTCTTTATAATGGTCAGAAATTTTACAGAGATTTATATGGCTTCTACTATGAAATAATGTTTTGTATTATACGCGACGATAAAGGGAAACTAACCATCTCCTGAAAGTTAATTTACTCGTCTTATATAATAAATAACTATTTATATAATCTTGTTTACAAGTTATAAACTGTTAGTCACAGTTGCACAAAACTATGGAAAATGCGGCCCATCAATAATCAATTTATTACTTGTTTTACGTTGTAAATCAATCAAGTACAATGTTATTTTGGAAAAGCAATAAGTAATTGTGTAATCGGGTTAAGGTAATTAATAGTAATGGCGATCGATTATGGTAATAGAATCGTGCAGTGCTGATAATCAGTAGGTATACCCATTAGCATTATTGGTACACAGTATCCAAGTTTAATATCCGTTCTTTAACGAGACTGAGACCTATACCGCACGGCAGCGGATGTGGAAATGTGCTGTTGAGTATGAAAAATGTTAATTTCTTATATAAGCTTTTTAAGCTGTATATATTCCAAATCAAGTACTTAGGTAAATATCATAGAGATCTTAGGGCCGATTTGTCATGTTTTAGTTAAACTTATCTGATAGATAACCTCCTGTTCCCTTTGTTGATAACATAACAGACAGGCCTTACAAATTATAAGTAGGTACAATGCACTAAATCCGAAATTCTGTACTTTAGCAGGAGAGGATGGGCTGCATTGCACAAATTTGTATATGATTTGGGAGACATCGTCTTCATTTAAGATCTTAAAAATATTAAATTGGAAATCAGGAAATGTAAGCAAAACATTTCCCCAGGGTTTGATTCTATGTAATTGAAAACAGGGATCTCTATCTGTAAAACGTCCTCCAATAAATGTCATTTTTAATGCGCATCCCATTTGATGGACAACATTCAGCTTTTATCATTTCCTTACTGCCATTTAAGTTTTTCCCAAAGACAAGCTTTGCAAATAATAAAATATAATGTAAAGAGAAAAAGAAGACGAAAGTGCGAGATATATATTTATTATTAAAACATCACTCTCTTCTCACGCCATTCGCCTCCATAAACGCAAATTGAGTACATTTAAAATACATGAAAAATCGCATTTGAGAAATAAAAAGTTTCATTCAGTTTTCATTGAAGCAGTTACTTTCACAATTTTCCTTTATTGCAAATTCTGCACGTTGGCGCTTTTTCCAGATATTGCATATTTACCACTATCCATAATTAAAGCGACTTGATCCCTGACAATATGGCCCTCTAATGTGGAAAGCTACATAATGCAAGCACAGAAACGTATTATTCACGTAGAACGCTAATATCCTTCCCAAGCCCGTACTATGCATCACTTTGCCAATATAAAAGGCGTTCACATCCAATTTCGTCTAAAATAGAACTAAACATAAAGAACTTCGCTACAAAATTCAATTAAGCTTCTGCTGTCGTCCATTGAATGACACGAACGTCTCTTAGACTTGCCATTATTTAAAAGGTTTCTAAACCGTCTTTGCACGACACATTTCTAAAATTCATACTGTTTTGTTTGGTTTTGGTTGTTCTTGTCAAATTCCGGCTTTCTTACCCTGTTTTTTTTTTATTGAGGTAGGTTTTTACGATGAGGGTTCGAAGCTCACTAAAGTTCCGATCTCTAAAAACTAAGGTAGAATAACTGATTTCGTCATTAATCGAGTAGAGTCAATACAATGATAACTGATAGTCGTATTCATTCCTAGAGTGTACCTACCTTCTCGTAACTTACATTGTAGATTATTAAACTATATTGATAGTAACAATTGTGACGCCCACAATGTTAATTTTTCAAAAAACTGTTATCTTTATTGCGCAAGTTAATAAGTAAAGAATATACATAATCATAATCAGTTGTGAAATAACTTTTGCCAGATATCAAATAAACAAGGGAAAGGTACAACGTTTTGTTTGATTTTAAAATAACAGTAAAGAACTATGAAAGATACAGAAATATATTTATTGAACAAAGAAGTACATCCACGTAACACGTTATGAGATTCTGTCTAGGTCCACCCTTCTTGTAACTAACTGTCATTTTTACTGTCCTCAATTTGGAGAATAATTTATAGAGTTGCTCTTCATTCGATGCAATCAGGATGTCGTCAACATAGTCAGTAGAAAAGATAGCACTTAACCACGCCGGAAGTTTGAATATGCGATCAAATAGATCGTAATGTTCCATAGAAAATATATTTGACAAATTTTTCGTATCTCGCCAAATAAAACAGATATTGAGGTGACCCTCTTATCTCGAACGCACTGTATACAAGTGGACAGGGTCGGATTTACAGCTTGCGGGGCCTCCAAGCACCAGGTAAGGCTGGGACTTGTATCTGTACACCGAAATTTATAAAAGGTTTAGTAAACGTTACTTCAAGCGTAACATAATTTTCAGACGTCCTTAGATGACGCTGAGTGTCCCAAGGACAATATGACACATCAGAATACTGTCGTTATTGGGAAAGTAAGCGGACATTAAAACTTTGCCAGCGACAGTAGGTACATTACATAAGGTGACCACGATTAAGTTCACCTAAAATATGATGTAAATGGTTGGTATACCTCACAATGGGGTAGCTCGATCAGGAATGGTAAATACACGAAATCTTGAATGCGTGGGGAGATTTCGTGTATTTACCATTCCTGTTCACCTAATATACCCAGCCTCCCCTTGCTGAATAAGAAACTTTGCATTTTATTATTAAAAAAGTTTATTACTAATCGGCAAGCTCATTTCAATAACAAATCCCAGTGGAGCTTAAACATTAAACAAACTTTACGCTTATTGAAACCTCGTCCTCCACAAATAATTGAATACTTAACAGGAAATTAGTGTATAAATGGTATACATTTGCGATTAGATTACTTCAAGTGAAATATTTTTTCAAATAAATAGAAAGGAATAGATACTACCCTTCTTTGGTGATGACTCTTCTGATGCACAATTAGCTCCTCTAATATAAATGATATCAGCTAACTTCAATACTATGCTAAATTAACTCAGCTTTTGGTAATAATTTACTACATATTTTCTTTATTAGAACGATCTCCAGAGCATCATACAGAATTTAATGATGTATCTTGTATATTCATATTAATTATAGCACCTTGATGGGATTAATAATAATTAGTTGTTATTTATTGAACAAGTGCTCTGCACTCTTTGAATTTATAGCTAAGTTTAACTCTGGAATACAAATAATAATAATCAAGCCCTTGATTGCTGAAGTGCATCCGCATTAAACTGAATTTATCTGGACCACCAACAAACAAACATAGATATCACTGGCTGGCTTCATTTACCTACGTTTTCGGTTTTAGCTAGTCAAATGCAATGCTATTGTTACAGATTTGGAGAAATTCAGTATAATGGGGACCGACGTACCCTTTCATAAGGATTTTAATACATAAATTGGGCGCCTCTCACTCGTTCTGTTTCTTTGCACGTGATTATTCTTTGTCGTGAACAGTTGATACGAAGCACCAGTGGTCAGTTCAAGCAATTTCTCGCTGATGAAGTTAAATAAGTCTTGTTTAATGTTGGGGTTTGATAAGAATTTCACCCATTCTGAACCCTGTGAGATAGGTGTTTTTGAAGACACTAGTTCGACGACCTGAAGTGTCACCTCGAAGGAATGGAAGAATTTTGAGCAGTTGCATAGATTGTTATCAAAGTTAAGGGGGAGTAAAACTAAGCAATAAAACAACACATAAAAATGACAATAAAGGACATCGTCAAATCTTTATTAAACTTGAGCAGTAAAATTAAAGTGAGTAATATAATTAAGTACAAACTATTGCCGCGTGTTTGTTATCTCTTTTTCCATATTTTTGTTTGCCTTCTATATGTGTTCCCATTGTTGTCGGATCGTGTATATTTGTTATATTATTATACCCTATACAGGGTGCCCATTATGTATGGAATATGGCATATATCTCAGTAAATATCGACTGCATACCAAATTTTTCCATATGAAAGTTGTTTAACAACTTATTACCCATAATAAGGCAGCATTCCATTGTTTTTAATTTTAGAAAACAAATGAATATCGAAAAACAATTGAATTTTTTTAAAAAGCAATTCACACATTTTTAATATAGCTATTATACATAACTGTTACTTTTTTTGGTATCAATTACGGCTTAATCTGGAAAAAGTGGCAATTATGTTGATCAATTTCACTACAACAGATTAGTAAAAGTAAACTTTCTTTAATTGCAGTTCGGCGTCTCACAAGTTTTCCATCGTACCCGTAACTTCTCCAGTTCAACATGGGGAAGGCCCAATTTGGGATGGAAAAACGCAATCCCTATACTACGTCGATACATTCAAGGCGACACTCTTAAAATGGAAATCATTGGAAAATAAAACAGTCTACCATCAGTTCGGTAGCTAGTTTAGGTTTAGAATTCCCACGTGTACTCCAACTTGAATTTTTAAGATGGAGACTCTATAGGTTTTGTCATTCCGGTGAGATATAATAGAAATACCTTCATAGTATGCAGGGACCGTTACATAGATATCTTAAACTGGAATGGCTTGCATAATAACACAGGCGTACTCAGGCATATGACATACGTTGACCATTCGTGGGCAAATAATCAATTTAACGATGGAAAGGTTGACGCAAATGGACGATTGTGGGCTGGTATGTTCAGACAGATGAATTTCCATTAATGTGTTCTTCTTCATAGGTACTTTGACACGCAATAAGGATCTTAGTGTAAGCAGTGGAGGTGGTTCATTATATATGATCCACGGGGGTTGCGGCCTCACTGTGGAGAAGAAGTTGTCACCTATATCCATCAGTAATGGAATAGCCTGGTCCAAAGATAATAGAAAGATGTTTTACATAGATAGTGAAACTAGAAGGATTGATGGATACGACTTCAATTTGATCACCGGAAGTATAGGTAATTCGTATCCAAATGATTCTTAGCTTAAAAAACTGTTGCTCTACCAAGGAAATAATTTTTTCTCTGTTACATCAAAAAATCTTATATGCTGCTTACATGTTGATCTTTGATCAACCAAAGCTCAAACATGAAACTTACTCAGATTTAACGATCATCAAGGGAGTATATTTGAAGAATAGCAATAATAAAGGTGACTGCTTTAAGTGCGGTCAAGTAGATCATTGAAGACAGGACTGTCTTGAAATAAAGATAAGCTCGGGACGAAGCATCAATTAAAATGCATTCGTTTGTAGCACCTCAAAGATTGGTGACAAATGGATTTTGGTTTCGAGGACAACGGATCACATTTAAAAAAAATACGCTATTATATTCGTTATGGGGTGGCTGGTTGGCTGTCCGGCTGAGATCTCAGCAATTCCAACAGCTACAGACATCAAATTTTCATTAAAAGCTTTCTGTTATAGTGTAGATGTGCAGGCTATAGTCTATTTTGAGTTTGATTACTTGTGAGATCGATAAATTTAAGCTTTGCTAATAAAATACTGATCTGTATTACCAAAAATGCGCTTTCATCATGCATATGCTGATTTACAACTTGTTTTCACTAGCCTATGATAACACATGATTATTAACTCTTTTTTCACTTATAAAGTTGGCTTTCGCGCTTTCTAATCTAATTTTGGTGCCTTCTGTACCTTGGTATACAGGGTGGTGACTTGCATAACGCATCATAGGGATTTCAATGTAAAATTCATAACATGCGATTATTGGCTCCCCAAATTATTTTAGATCAAAAATGTATTGAGGTTTTTTGTAGAAAAATTGTTTTTACGTCAATCAATCGCTTTACTTTTCAATTTTTTGCATAATAAAGACGGAAAATTGGAAAAATAAAACCCGCACCTTTGCAATAATCTGTGATGCCATGGAATTTTATAATACAAAAACTACGCCAATATCCGTCATGCCATGGAACGTCAGCTATAAATCAAATCAAATTCTATCAAAAAGTATTATATTTAGAACAGCGAATTCAACATAAAGATTTACCAAATTACGAAAAACGGTTTCCTATTATAACAATTTATAATAAATGTTCGAATAAGTCACCATTAACTGCAAGACAGTAACCAAGTCGAACATAAAATCCATTTCGAACTGCTGCTAATTGATAACTGGATATCTTTTTGTTTTAGAAAATTGCAAAGGTGCGGGTTTTATTTTTCCAATTTTCCGTCTTTATTATGCAAAAAATTGAAAAGTAATGCGGTTGATTGACGTAAAAAATTTTTTTCTACAAAAAACAATACATTTTTGCTCTAAAATAATTTGGGGAGCCAATAATCGCATGTTATGAATTTTACATTGAAATCCCTATGATGCGTTACGCAAGTCACCACCCTGTATAATATAGAACATACTATTATACAATAAAATCGTGAGATGTAGAAATTTCATATATTTCGTATATATTCCATTACACTTCCCCCTAGCTATCTAAATGGACCTGTATTTTCAATTTTTATAAAAATTTCAAATTTCATTAATAATTAAATGAACCCCGGAAATCTTGAAATCTGATGACTAAGCAGTAAATTTCGTTTTCTTGAAAGGGATGCAAATCAAGATTAAAATTAGATCTTGTTAGTGTATTGAATAGGAACACACGTGGCAGCAAGCATTTGTAAGCCACCCCACGCAATGAAACTAAGGATTGAAAATAAGGTTAAATTTTGTTACGTTTGACGTGTTCGAACGCTTTGTTTAATTTTCATGTACCAAACGGTGAAATGTATAGCATGATTACATAAATTCATTGAAATATATTGTTCAGCTTAATTTTCTATTGGCCAGTATGACGCCTATTATGAGATTTTAAAACTGAATTCGCTAATAAAACGTATTGTCTGTATCTGTTTTGCACTTTATTCTTCTCCCCTCTTTCAAACTTGAATATAACCTATGTTTATTCGGTTTGGGGGAGGATCAAAGGGGATGTTTAAAACAGAAAGCCTCGTCAATGAATACGCGCGAATATAGAACAGGTTCGTGCACTTTATTTCGATAACTAAATCTGGCATCTTTCCAAATAAATTTCGTCTTTTTGATGTTGTTTTGCAATTAATTTTCCGTTCAGAACCATCTCCAAATGCCATAGCGTTTAACTTAGATTAATTAAGTTGTATACAAGATGTCAACAGCATTATTAGTCAAACTATAATTGCTAAATGATTAAACAACGCTACATATTTTATATTTCTCAAGCTATGAATTGGAATTGGTAAACTTGACTAGCTATAGTGGACAGTAGTCGAAGTCATAACATAACTCACAACTCAAATTCCTTGCACGATATGTTTATACCTTGCAAACCTTGGCGGAATATTGAAACTGAACCAATCTTATAGAAGACAAAGTATTTTGAGGAAAGCTTCTTGTATTATTTATGTCACAAAACTTCATTTCATTTTGTTCTTTCAGGATATCAGCGCACAGTTTTGGACCTTGCCAATTATCCAGAAATAAAAGGAATACCAGATGGTATGACAATTGACACCGACGACAATTTGTGGGTGGCAATATATGGCGGAAAACTGGTATTGAAACGAGTCAACCACCTTATAGATTTAATCAGTTTTTCAGATCTTACAAGTAAACTCAACGTCGGGAGAAATCCAGCAACGTATTACAATGCCAGCAACGTATGTCACCTCGGTGGCATTTGGTGGAGACAATTTAGATATCCTATACGCGACTACGTCTAGACTCAAACTTACCCCGGAAGAAATTTTACAAGAACCGCTCGCTGGATCAGTGTTTGCAATCCATAATTTAGGCGTAAGAGGACATTCCGCTCATCATTATCAGTTCTAGCACAATCTGTAACAAAAAAAACTATTTAGCACATTTACTTTGCAGAGTAATCAGTCAACATTTACATATATTTATTAATGCAATTTAATAAATACTGGTGGTCACTCAGCTATTGTTAAATAAACGTCGCAAATAAACGAGCTATTGGTAAATTCAGTAGTAAAGAAGTTTGGACGCATAAATAATGATTTTAGAATTGCTTAGTCAATCCGATCTTGTTGATATACGATCGCATCTAAGCAATTGATAACCTACCGATTGCTGAAAACGAAACTAAAATAGGTTTCTTTCTTCATTCTCGAGTTACCTTGATTACAGAAAGAAGCGGCTTTAGAATGAACATCTTGGGAAATACGTGCGACGCCGATGCTTTTATAGAAATGAGAAATAGACTAACATTTCCTCAGATTTGTCAGAAACTTTAGAAGAGCACAAGGTGGGAGAAAAGGGAGTTTAGAGGGAAGATTATCATCATAAAGGGAACCGGTGACAAGAAACGCTAATGAAAGAGAAGAACAGGCCCATCAAGCAGAAGAAGCAGTAATGGCATAAACAACGAATATGCAGAACAAGGATAAAAACAGTAATTGGTAATAGTAAGTACCTTGGGGCCTTGAATCGGTGGTAGTATCACAGCTTGATTACGACAGTTTGGTGGGTAAAGGAATAATTACGTCCCATGCCCTGAATATTTTTTTTTCCGTGTAGATTTATTTATTTATTGCCCCTCTCTTGTTCTGGGCTCTCAACAGGCTTTCACCCAATTTTTACAGTGGCCCGCATATTGCTTCTTAGAGCTGCCCCTGCAGGAGGTTTTAAGTTGTTCTATACAACCCGGAGTAGCCGGCAGAATGCTCCAAACTGATCTAAGGAAATTCCCATCTCTTCCACAGATGACAAAAATTCACTTCAACTATCTATGGAAAGAAAATATTCTCATAATCGTTTCACTTCCGGTTCTACCGGATGTCGATGGCAAATTTCTTATTTTAAATAAAACACCTTGTATTATATTGCATATATACTTCGTTTGATACCACATTTCCCTATACCCAGCATCAAAGGTTTTCAAGGTATTCAAGATTTTTCAAAATTGTTGACTGACTGCTATTCTTTTGAGCCCTGTACCTATGACTCCGTTGACTTGACTTACAAAAAGTATTCCAAAATCAACAGTACATACACAGTTGATACTGCGTGACAATTACAATATCTACATCCTCACCAATTACTACTACAGACGATTGAGAAATCGCCTTGTCAATTCCACCTCACTATTCTTCCATTCGCATCTCCTGTCTTGCCGCGGCATATCCATATTCATATTCAATCTTAGGGGGTCAAAAACTTAAAAACGGTGGGTTTCTTTTAAGAAAGTGTAGAATCAGAGTTGTAGCAAATTTAATGAGCGTTTATTTAGATGCAAAGAATTTTTTCTAGTACGCACAGTTTTCTAATTGTAAGTAAAAAACTATAAAATGTGATCATCGAAGCCACGGTCTCTCCCCTCACTTTATTATATGTTGATCAGGGGACCTTTTACTACACATTTCTGAAGAAATTAGTAATACATGATTTATTTCCCCATTTGCCATTTTTTGGTCTATTCTTACTGGACTAAGGGTGCACATCTCTTTACGCTAAATTTTTCGGGCAGTCAGCCTGTTTATGTGAACACGTAATTTGTCGATATCGAAATAAAGGGTGCAGAAGGAGTTAAGCAATCTAAATTAATTAATGAATCGTTATGTGAAGTAGTACAGGTTTGTGGAAAGTTTTTAAAACGATTGGTCCGTATTCGGAAAAGTTAGTACGACTGTTGAGTCAACCAAGCAGTTGTTACCTTGCGACAAGGTTTGTCGTTTATTAAAAATAAAAATTTTATGCCGTTCCAAAAGCCACAAAATCTAATTCAACCAGCTTGTTCGAGTCAGAATTTCCTGAAGCTGTCGGCGAGTGTTTTAGTCAGTGCTAAGTGACCCTGAATATAACAAATTTGCCTACACGGTACATCTAAAAAAAAGCTGTTTTGTAGAATAAATTTTTGTATTGCCAATTAATTAACTGTGTATTTAATGGAAGCCAGTGTGCGACCCAGATAGGGTTTTCATGTCAGCGTTTTCTTTCCGTGCTCAACAATTATGTCAGGTATTACTAAAAATTTTTTTTAGTTAATTTTTGGGACTTGGGGTTGATGGAGGACATGCCACTCCAAAATTTAAAATTCAAGTCGGTGTTTGGATTAAAATTGAAGCCGGATGTGTGAGAAGTAATAGTATTCAAAATTTCTACTTTGATTTTTTTTTACCTAGCTGGACAGGTCTTTTGTGGGTGACTTAGTGACCGTTTGCACATAGCAGTGGATAATTGTGAACGTCATTCAAAGATCACCCATTTCGAAGAAGTTACCGAGCAGTTATTGAGGGGCACCTGTATGAACCTGGGTTCTGGCATAATGTATATAACAATCCACAGAAGCTCATTTGAAATTCAGAAGTCATCGAATTGACTAGAGGTAACTAATTGTACGTGGTTTCGGAACCCCTGAGTTAGTCTACTGTTTTGGACACATTTACCTATTCCTTTTATAGTCCAGTCAATAGAGACCTAAATAGGGGAGTTTAGTCAAAAATTTGGTGTCCAAGAGGTTATGACTGATTCTTATGTATTTTTTGGCGTAGATTCCGAATTTTTAATCTCCCACCAACCTTAGGGGGTGGGAACCCCCCCAAAAATGCAAAAAACCCCAAAATTTCGGCCCAAAATTCAGAATTTTGGAAAAATCTCGCTAAATTTAGATTTTTGGCCCAAAGTACCTTAGTTCAAAATTAAAGTACACAAAATTTGCAGGAAAAGTGATATATACACTTTTGGTCTAGGACCAACGGGGGCGGAGATAAGAGGGGGGTCAAAAAAGGGTACTTTGTTGGAAAACGTGAAAAAAACGGAATTTCTCTGAATAACTCGCTAAATGTTGGTTTTAGAGAAAAAACTCAAAGGACCAAAATGAAAGTAGACGAAAAATTACTTCGGAAAGTGCACGTGTGCGGAGCCGATGAAGGGGGGGAGGAGGGGGAGGGGGCGAGCGCAAAACCTCTCTTCCTGGCGCCGCGCGACGGCACTGGCATAAGGCGCTATACGCGCAGTTTCGGGTATCTCTGGCGGCCTCGGTCCCGGTCATAACGGATGCTTCTTTGTCCTTATTTTAGAAAGGGGCCTCTGGCTTCCCCCTCCCTCTTGTTGGTCGTTTGTATGCTTTTTGTGTCCTCTGGAAACCAGTTCAAGATCCCTCTTCAGTGCGTCTGTGTTGTCGCGTCGTGCGCATCACGCTATATTGCTCCGTGCTTATTTACTATTTTTCGCCTGAGCCAGTAGAGGTTGAGTTTTTATTTAAAGATGGCCTAAAAAAGTGCGAAAGTAACGTTTCTTGCTGTCCGCCATGCAAATCAGAATTTCAGACAAATACTACAATCTCCCCCAAAAATTGTAACTCGAGCACTAAATAAACAAGTATAAATTGTGCACAACTCCTGTGCATATAAAGCGCATTTTTTTAACCGAAATAGCTTTTGTATGGACATCACCAATGGATATATTTCTTGCAGACGTTTCAATCGCCCTTTGATAGTACCCTCTTCCGACAATCCGTTCTTGAGGTATAAGGTAATATACCCGATCACGATAAGAGGTCGAGGAGGAGGGCTATGGTTGGTAGAAATTAATTCCTTGCGTTGAGACCTTTCATTAGAGTACCATGAAGGTTAAAACTAGTTTCACTCTCTCCCCTCGAGAGTATATGCAAGCGAACAAACTCAAAACGCACAGGCGCGCGAGCACGATATTACAGAAAATTTCGGTAAAAACAACAAACTTTTAACCGAAAAATAGTAAATAATAAAATAAATAAGCACGGAGGAATATAGCGTGATGCACACGACGCGACAACACAGACGCACTGAAGAGGGATCTTGAACTGGTTTCCAGAGGACACAAAAAGCATACAAACGACCAACAAGAGGGAGGGGGAAGCCAGAGGCCCCTTTCTAAAATAAGGACAAAGAAGCATCCGTTATGACCGGGACCGAGGCCGCCAGAGATACCCGAAACTGCGCGTATAGCGCCTTATGCCAGTGCCGTCGCGCGGCGCCAGGAAGAGAGGTTTTGCGCTCGCCCCCTCCCCCTCCTCCTCCCCTTCATCGGCTCCGCACACGTGCACTTTCCGAAGTAATTTTTCGTCTACTTTCATTTTGGTCCTTTGAGTTTTTTCTCTAAAACCAACATTTAGCGAGTTATTCAGAGAAATTCCGTTTTTTTCACGTTTTCCAACAAAGTACCCTTTTTGACCCCCCTCTTATCTCCGCCCCCGTTGGTCCTAGACCAAAAGTGTATATATCACTTTTCCTGCAAATTTTGTGTACTTTAATTTTGAACTAAGGTACTTTGGGCCAAAAATCTAAATTTAGCGAGATTTTTCCAAAATTCTGAATTTTGGGCCGAAATTTTGGGGTTTTTTGCATTTTTGGGGGGGTTCCCACCCCCTAAGGTTGGTGGGAGATTAAAAATTCGGAATCTACGCCAAAAAATACATAAGAATCAGTCATAACCTCTTGGACACCAAATTTTTGACTAAACTTTTCTCTATTGACTGGACTATTAGTAAATTCTACATTTCACTGGTGTTTGAATTTTCAGTAGTGCTAGTACAACAGTCTTAAAATAACACAAAGTATGTATTCTTACTGGTCTCATTATTATAGTAAGTATTTACCACTAGCGACTCGCTAAAAATCTATAACTTCTACCCACCACTTTGGATACGTATACGTATGTAAATATATTGATCAAAATGCGAGTCGCGTTATGTTTTTAATTAATCTAAAATCCATTCCTTTGCAACCATTTTACACGTACATTTTAATAATTAATCAACAAATTATATTGTGCAATTACTGTGAATTTTAATGTATTAGTATAAATAATTAGATTTGCCTAACATTAAAATAACAGATTGTGTGTTGAAAGCACGCTGAAAGTTAATGTAACTTCATTTAGCTTTTCCCTAACAGAAACTCCATTATTAATTTATATTTGGGAATACGAAATTGAAA